CTCGCCCCCCGCGGCGGCCGCTGCGCTGGCCGGCTCCCCCCGGGCGCGGCAGCCGTGACGGCTTTTTGTCTCGCGCCCCGCGGCCGCTCTCCGCGTCCTCCCCCTCCAGATGCCTGTTTGCTGCCCCTCCTCGCCGGGGGCACACACTGGCAGCGCCGGCCGCGGCCCGGCTCCCCCGCGGGGTCTGAGGACGGAGGCTGCTTCCCCCTCTTCGGCGGGGTTTTCCTCCCCGGCCGGAATGGACTTTCATTGATTCCGCCTTACTCGTGTGTCGACTGACCTACCCCCTGGGCGTGTTTGTGGGACTTCCCCTTTCCCCCCTCCTGAACATATAGATCTGCACACACAATCTGTAAAATGGAGAACGAGGTCTTCACTCCCCTTCTGGAGCAGTTCATGAGCAGCCCCTTGGTCACTTGGGTAAGTAAGATGCCCCTTATTGTACGTCTCGTTGCGTCGTCTGTGTCTGCAGAGATGGAGGTGGGCGTTCACGACCGTGATGATCCTTCCCGTTCTAGGTTAAAACGTTTGGACCTCTGGCTGCTGGAAATGGGACCAACCTGGATGAGTATGTGGCTCTGGTGGACGGGGTGTTCTTGAACCAGGTCATGCTCCAAATGTGAGTGTCTTCTTCTTCTCCTCTCGGTAACTTACTCCCTGGAAAATAACGTACTTTGATTTCGCGTCTTAAACCCTTAATTTGGTTCTTTGGTCGGGGAAAAAAAAAAAAAAAAAAAAAAAAAAAAACCAAACCAAAACACAGGTTTAATTGGATCTGGAAAGAGCGTTATTTTTATCCGCCCATCTCGTTTATCACAACCGAGTAGTTATACCTGTTAAGACTGGGTAACTTTTAGTCTGTGGCTTTGCCAGTCCTGCCTGTTTTGTCATTTATTGTCTTCAGTGCAGAAATTCAAACCACATTGTGTCATCTTTGGTAATTTGGTAAAATGACGGAGACAGAAATCTTGTCTACGAGAGGAAAAAGACTTAACTAAGTTATGTGCAAAGATGGTTTTCATTAACTATTTTAATATAAGAAGGAGTTCAAAAAATTGAAGCTGGTGAAGTAACATATTTCAGAAGTGAAAAATTCAATTACATTGCTGATTGGTCAGAAAGTCTTCTGTAGCAAACATTTTAAATATTTAAATTTGATTAGATGGCTTAGTATGTTATTATTGATGAATTATCAAATTGCTTAATGTTTGAGGAATTGTTTAAAGATATTTTGAGGTTTGTGTAAATAACTGAAGCCTTGAGAGCTGGGTTAGTTAAGTCTTTTGTCTCTAATAATTGAGTTTCTGTTAAGTAGAAATGTGTTGAGATAGAAATTGAATATTGAAAGTAGATCAGTACCTAGATCAGAGGAATAAAAATGACTCCATCTTACGGTATTGTAGTAGGGATGCATTCTAAGTACTTCAGTGGTTAACAATTGCTGAATACTGCAGCTGTGTTCAGACTTCTTAATAGATTCTCATTACAAGAATAATTGTGTACTTTTTGATTTGAAGATACTACTTTTATGCATGTGAAACATTAATGCAGTATAAATACTTGTTATTAGAGTCTTATACAGTTATGTTAATTTTAGATAGAGCAATTGTGTATTTTACTGAAAATTTTTGTTTTTAGGTTTTCTATTTTAGGAAGTTTGTACTGGTTAGGTTTTTGTCATCCTGACATAAGGGTCTTCAGGGAAAAGGGAACCTCAGTTGAGAAAATGCTTCTGTCCCTTTTGCTTGTAGGCGAGTCTGTGGGGACATTTTCTTGGTTACTTGATGTGGGAGGGTCCAGCCACTGCTGACAGTGCCATCCCTGGGCAGGTAGTGGAGCAAGGCAGGGGAGCAAATCAGGAAGCACCATTTCTCCAGGGGCTCTGCTTTAATTCTCGTCTCTAGCTCCTGTGGTGACCTTTTGTTCCCCAGTGTGTGTGTGTGTGTGTGTGTGTATGTGTGTCTGTCTGTAGTGGTAGAAGTAGTTGGGAACCTGGAAGTAAGAAGCAATAAACCCTTTCCTCCCACAAGGTGCTTTTGGTCTTATGTTTATCACAGCAAAAGAAAAGAAGCTTGGACAAGGTTAGAAGTCAAACACAGAAAGACTGTTTCCCTACTAAGCTCTGTGTCTTGAGGTTTGTATGCTGTTTCCATGTATGTGTGACCCTACAGGAAATAGTGTTGTTTTATACCTTTTCCAAAGAAAATGTGTGTGTAGGCACTTAGATATATGAGTTAGCTAAAAATGTATTTTTTTTCCTTAGAAAGGAAAAAAAGCGTAGACATTTTCAGGATTAGTGCATTCTTAGCAGATACTAATGGCATTACTTTTTATTTAAAATATCCTACTATTTCCTAAACAAAATGATAAGAATACTTAACTACTGTTTTAGGAAGGGAAGCCATTATGAATAGATACTCACAGTTTTCCTCTTATGTCTCTGTATTTGCTTAATTTCAGGCAGGAAAATTTGAATTTTTTATGCTGAATACTATCAAAGTGTAAATATACATGAAATTGTCACCTTGATGTTTTTTATTGAATTCTTTTTCTAAAGAATATTTTTTATTTTTTGAAACTTTGTACTTGAGTGAAGAGTTAAAAACACATTAGCCTTGCCTTTTTCTGAAGAGAAACTGAGGAGGAATGGGTAGGAGGTGGGGGAGGGGCTGAGAGGGGAACCTGTGGTCAGGATGTAGTATATGAGAGAAGAATAAATAAAAAAAATTTTAAAAACCATCAGTTTTGGCTTTGATTTAAAATATGTATGTTTTGAAAATGAATAGTGATGTTCCAGGTTCTCCCAGTCTCTCCAGAGTGAGGACTGGTTGCTTTCTAAACCTCAAATCTACTTCTGTGTTTTCAGTTCCACCTATCAGTTTCTCTAAAAGATTTTTTTAGTGTCCTAATTTTGTTTTGAATGACCTATATAAGGGGAAAGGAAAGGAAAAGAAGTAGTCTTTGTTTTCTTAAAAGAATAATTTGTTAAAATTGTCAACACAAGTGTAGTTCAATGAATTATGCAAGTGGTAGAGCAGCCAAATGCCTTATTATTTTATTTTTATGTGCATAGTCTTATTATATAGCCCTGTCTGACCTGGAACTTGCAGTGTAGAACAGGCTTGCCTCTGAGAGAGCCACCCGCGTCTGCCTTCCAGGTGCTGGAATTAAAAGGATTCTGCCCATGTCTCACCACAGTACATTATTTTAAGAGCTGTATTTTGCCAATTTTGAAACAGCTAGAAATTGTGCTACATAGTTTACTCAGTTGACTGTGTGACTCACTATACTGTTAAGGTCCCAGTTAAAACTCTGGCAGGAAGATAGTTAACCTAAAGATGAACCTGATTTTAAAAAGTTTCTAAATTACATTTGGTTATAGGATTTTTGAGCAAGAACCCTTTCTGAATGGGACAATGTATTTTTCTTTGTGCTCCTTATACTTCAAGTTTGTTGAGCTTCTTGGATCTGTGGGCTTCATTTTTACCAAATTTGAAAGAAATGTAGCCATCGTTTTTTTTTTTTTAATATACTATACACATATATCTGGTGTATATATATATATGTGTGTATGTGTGTGTGTATATACATATTACCTATGTAGTATATGTGTGTACACAAGCTTCTTCCTCTCCTTCTTTTGGAAGTCCAGTTAATGTATATCAGATCCGGTGGTGTGGTTCAGAGCTCACTGATGTTCATTGCTGGGTGTTGTTGTTGTGTCTTTGATTTTGAATAGGCTTGTGTGATACTCATGAATCCCTTCTATTTTGTTTAGTCCTACTTAATATAAATATCATTTTAGAGACAGTGTACTCTGTAGAAAGCTTGCCCATTATATCTCCCATGTTCAGATTTCTCAGTTTTATCTCTTTAGATTTTTAAATGTGGAATATAGTTATAATTGTCTCATTTCCCATATCTACTAATTTTATAATTTCATAAATTGATTTTGATTGATTTTTTTCTCAGTTTGCATATGTTTCTCTGCTTTTATATATTCTGGTGATTTTATTTGATGTTAGATAATTGAAATTGTATCTTCTTGTTGGATATTGAATATTTTAATATTCCATAAAGTACAGATGTCTTGAGCTTTGTTCTTGGATGTGTTAAGTTACTCAGAAAGAGTTTTAACTTTTCAGAATTTGCATTTGTATTTTATTAATGTATTTTTATTATGATTATTATTATTATTTGAGGCAGGCTCTTCCTATATAGCCCTGCCTTTCCTAGAACTTACTGTGTAAACCAGGCTGGTCTCACAGAGATCTGGGAGGCCTGCCTCTGCCTTCCAAGTACTGGGATCAAAAGTGTACATCACCACAGTGGCTGTAAAGTTTTTAGGCTGTACCTTGTACCATTTAGTCAGAATTTTTCTAAGTACTGTGATTGGTGGGAATGGTAACTATTTGTGTTGTTACCTGAAATAAAAACTTTTTTGGCTCTTTCATTGGCTTTGTTTAGTTTCTTCACAGTTCTGTACTGACAAGAACTCAGCTGCAGTCTGCTGAGATACCTATTGAGTCTTTTCCTAGTTCGGTGCTCCATCTGTGGTACTTTGCCTGTGTGCTCAGCGGTATTGCCCCTCAGCTTAGCTCTCTCAGCTGCCTGAGCTTCCTCCTCCCCCTGCTCATGGCTGGTGGAGTTTCTAGGCAGTGAGACTAGGCTGCTGTTGGGTTCAAGTTCGTTCTCCATCTACCAAAGATGATCATTTATTTATTTATTTATTTGCCTCATGTCTAATGTCTTGAAAAATATTTCATAGGTTTTGTCTTCTCCTGGCTCCGAATTGTTTCAGGTAGGAAGGTAAATTTGGTCCTTCTTGTCAAGAAGTAGAAATCAGTTTGTAAACTTTAATAATTATATTTTTGCCCTGCTAATCTTATCTTACTGCTTTCATATGGAACATAGGCACTTTTTATAATGTTTTGTTTTTTTTTTTTTCTGAGACAGGGTTTCTCTATGTAGCTCTGGCTGTCCTGGAACTTGCTCTGTAGACCAGGCTTTGTTGAATTCAGAGATCCATCTGCTTCTGACACCCAAGTGCTGAGATTAAAGCCGTGTGCCACCACTGCCTGGTAGAAAAATCAGACTTTTATATTATAGGGAATTTACTATGTTTTTTTTTTTTAAATCTAAAGTATTTGTTAAAAATCTGTACTTCTAAAGAAGCTAAACAACAAGGAAGATCCTAGAGAAGATGCTCGATCCTCATACAGAAAGACAAATGCGATAGACATTGAAAGTAGGAAAAGACAGGGAACAGGGCAGGAGCCTACCACAGACGGCCTCTGAAGGACTATACTGATCAAGGTATCGAAGCAGAGGCTAAGAGTCATAGCCAAACTTTGGGCAGAGTGCAGGGTATTTTATGAAAGAAGGGGAAATAAAAAGACCTAGAGGGGGCAAGAGCTCCAAAAGGAGAGCAACAGAGCCATAAAAACCGACTCTTGGGAACCCTGCAGAGACTGATACTTCACCCAAGGACCATGCATGGAGAGGACCTAAAACCCTTGCACAGATGTAGCCCATAGACTCAGTCTCCAAGTGCCTTCCCTAGGAAGGGGAGCAGGGACTTTATCTGGCAAGAACTCAGTGACAGGCTCTCTGATTACC